CGTACATTATTAACATTACAGAATCCACATATTCCTGCCAGTTTTAATATGTATTTTGTAATCAACAAGTGTGTAACCCCGGTCAAAGTTTGACACTTCTCGGGCCATTATCTCCGTAACCGTTCAACTTTGGACATAGGTGTTTTGGGTTATATCGGCATACTTTAACATAAGGAACACCCTCCCGAAGTTTGGCACATTCCTCCTGGGACACCCTGTATATGGAATGCACCATGTAATAAAACTATTAAAATAAATAGCTAGAACACTTGGAAGGAGTGCCTAAAAATCAAATTCCGAAGTTACTTTATCAGCATAGGAATATCGATCAAAAGTTGAAAGGAACAGATGTAATGCTTATAAGCAGAACAGAGCAAAAGGTTCAATGATATTATTATTGATCTTGATTTCAGCATTGTTCTTCCACCTGTGCCTGTGTTTCCTAAGTCGTCTATTCTCTTGAGGTTTACTAACAAAAATGTAGTATACATTTCTTGCATGTTCTGTGGTGCATTTTTGGCTTACCCAATGCTTTGTCTTTACTCAATCTCTAGAGTAGTTACTATAGGATTCTGACGATGGTGTATAACACACTGATATATTGGGTTTCTGGACTTTATCCATCGTCCTAGTTTTTAAGATAACAAAAACACGACGTTTCGGAAACTGGATCTGTTTCCATCCTCAGGTGAAGGAAAACACATATTCTGTTGGGTCCATTAGAAAGAGCTAGCCTCAATCACTGCTCCAGTGATTGAGGCTCTTTCTAACGGAATAGGTGTTTTCCTTCACCTGAGGACGGAAACAGATCCAGTTTCCGAAACGTCGTGTTTTTATTTTTTATTTTTATTAGTTATCTTAAAAACCAGGACGATGGATAAAGTCCAAAAACCCAATATATCAATCTGTAGAATGTAAATTATGTAACTTTTAACTTTTTTATCTTTACAGGGCTGTGCATCATGGAAATGGTACTTTCCATACCATTATGCTCCTTTTGCATCAGATTTTTTGAATATTGCTGAGTTATCAACTGAATTTGAGAAAGGAACCAAACCAGTATGTATGAAATGTTTTATGGATATTGTTGGTAATTAGAATGCTAAGATGTGATTTAACTCTGTGGTGGAATTGTTGCAGTTTCGTCCGTTGGAGCAGCTGATGGGTGTGTTCCCAGCAGCTAGCAGCTCTCATGTACCAGCACCATGGGCAAAACTCATGAGTGATCCGGTGAGTGTAACAAACCCATATGCAGTAACGAGTATCCTGTGCCCAACCTCTAATCGCTAAACACTAATTTGCTGTGAAAGAAATTTCAAATTCATTCATAAAAATTTAATTTTGCCTACAAAATAAAACTATATATCCAAGATAATAAACAAGAAGCCTTGAAAATGAAATGTTTCCGTTTTGTATCATCTTTCAAGAGTGGGGGCTGGGATTATTTGTGGAAAAATCAGCATCTCGTGGGAAAATAATATTTCGCTGTTATTAAGCTGCACTATTGATAATATCACATTCACTGTTTGTTTTATTTCAGGAGTCTCCAATCATTGATTTTTACCCAGAAGATTTTAAAATAGACTTAAATGGAAAGAAGTTTGCATGGCAAGGTGTAGCTTTGTTACCATTTGTTGAAGAGAAGAGATTATTCAAGGCATTAGAGCCATACTACGAAGTCTTAACCCCTGGAGAAAGTAAGTACAAACTGAGGTTTATACAAAACAAGAATATAATAGTGTTGATTTTGTCTTCACTAAGCAGAGTTATTTCTTCATCCCCAGAATTAAAATACTTCCTCTTTTTCAGTCTCCTACTTCTATACATACCTTGTCCTCATAAAATGAAAATATTTATGCTTTCAAGCATTCAGTTTTTAAATAAAATATAACGAGATCTTAAAATTGTATGTGTATGCAGAATGTATGTAAGCGATATTTTTTTTAATGAACTGCTTCATTGTTCATTTACAGAAAAACGCAATGTAAGGGGAGATGACAGATTGTATGTGACATTGAAGAATTCTGGCTATGACTTCATTAAGGGCTTATATGAAAATGAAATTGACCTCACTGATGAAGTGAATGTAAGCATTGATGGAATGCAAGGTACTGTTCTTCTTGCAGAAGACTGTGTGGTTCCTGGAGGGTGAGTGTAGCAGATTTTATATTAACAGAGAAGTGAGGTTAATTAAAGTGATAAGGAGAGCTCTGTAATTGCACATACGCACAGTCAAGTCGTACACAAGGTTACCCTTGCCTGCTCAACTTCCTATATTACTTTGAAGTTTTAACTGAATTGTTACTGGAACTCAGTTTCTTGGAATCAAATGAATATCAGAAGTACTCATTAAGCGAAGTGCTGTGCTTCACAACTGCAAGAGTAATCCTAAAAAGTATATGCACTGTACATAGAAGGTCACGATGCTTTGGTCCTTGAATGCTCACTGCTTTAGTCTGTTGTAAACTAAACCCATTTGCCCCCCTTCTTACCTTAACTCTTCAACTGAGTTTACCAAGAGAACATGATGGTTGTACTACAGAATAAAGGACACTTATAATTATGTATAAATATATGTGCATATTCACATGATCAAAATATAGCTGTTAGGGCCTGTAAGAGCTGCATACAATATTGTCACATGTAGGTGTGACTTACAGACAGGGTTCTGGATCGGATGATTGGATTTATTGCACCTTATACGCATTGTGGGACCACAGGCCATTACTGATTTACCCACTCTAATTCATCATTCCACATGCACTAGGTTTTTGAGTCTGTACTATTTGTCTCCTGGCAGTGCATTTCTAACAGTCTCACTGTAGCTGCAACTCACATTGCAAGTCTTCTTGCCATTATCCCGCAGCTGCCAGTTCTGAAGATTGAACTCAGTTCCTCTCAACTACTGTCTTCTACTCCATCCCATCTCAAGTCAAAGTCACATTGCAACTGACAGTCAGTCTTCTGACTGCTGTCTTATGTCTACTCGGCACAGGCCTCGCAGAAAACACTGTCCTTTGTTGGCAACAATGTGTGTTCTCTGGTCTGTTACCTAGCAGTAGATGTCGTTATATTGTTGAGCACATATGCTTCACAGGAATGTGGTTACTGACCTGTTGCCTATCAGTGGGTATACTCATCACTATATGCATAATTACTTGCAAGGCTTTGAACATCAACTATGTTTTGCAAGCCTTCATCACAGAAAGTCCAATTACCGATGTGAAATAAAAACACAGTGAATCTGAAGAATACAGAAATGTACTAAGAGTGTACATGGTCATGCACATAATCGAAGGATAACCAGAGCAGCTCTGGCAGTTGGTAATGGTTAAATCTGAGCATAATTTCAAACACCAGCCATTTCATAATTTAACAACTTCAACCTGCTTGCTGGTAGAACTCTATTTCTTTCTCTGGGACATAAGCCAATTCTGGAGCCTGTGTACCATGTGGTGCAAACTCTGGATAAAATAACAGGTCAAATGGAGATGCAAATGGCCCTGTGCTGAGCTGGAGGGGAAGGAAGTAATGATGATCAAAATGGAAGTGGAAGGGAATGAAGGTTCTGGGTGTTGTTACTGGTCCATCAGAGAGAATGTGTCATCATACCCAAAAAGCACATATTTCTCAAAAACTGTCAATGGTTAAGAAAGAAAACAAAAATATGTCTTAAAGCAAGTAAGCCATAGATAATACCGCAAAAGTTTCATGTCTATTATTTGTCTATTATTATATGCAAAACACTCATGTATGAATCTGTCATAAGGTAAGAAATCAAAATAAGATGTGTCTGTTTCACTCACATGTCTGGTGTTAGATTCGTCTGATTTTTCTATATCAAGGTGCTGTTCTCACAGAATTAGTGTAGGTTAATAATCCCTAAAATACATGATAATACACAGGCTGACATCACATCATTTGCATCAGTAAGCTATACAGGTGTCTGTGACTCTTTGCATCATAGTTTATTGAGTCTTTCTCATTTTGTGCCCTAGCTACAAGATTTTCTTATGGTCCTCTGCAGTTGAATATTTCATAGCATTTCCGTGCTTATCACAGTACACGTATTGTTAAGTTTGTGGAGGATCTTTGTATAATTAATGTTTATGATTTAATTAGGTATTTTGGCATTAGATCATACCATAACGAATTAACTCATTTCGTAGAGCTGAGCCCTTCTTGAGAAGCCACCAATTGTGCAGCCATTCAAAGACTTCCCAGCATTTTATGGAACACAAAGGTTCATTACCATGTTCACAGGAGCCCTCCCCTGGACCCTATCCTTAGCCAGATCGATTCAGTCCATACCACCCTATCCTATCTCTCTAAGATCCATTTAAACATTGTCCACCCACCTACATCTCGCTCTTCCTATTAGTCTCTTTTCTTCTGTACAAATTGTATGTTTCTGGACATTATCCATTGTGTTTTACCTGAAGACAGACAGAATCCAGTCTCTGAAACGTTGTGTTCTGAAAAATAAACAGGAAGGTATTTTTAGATAAAGACAGGATAATGGATTATGTCCATAAATATAATATTTGTACTAATGTACCATTATCATAAACTTTTAGATCTTTCCTTATGGCTATCCCACCAATATCCTATATGCATTCATCTTCTCCCCCATTCTTGCCCCATGCCCTGCTTATCTTATCCTGATTGACTTCACCATTCTAATTATACTTGGAGAAGAGTACAAGTTATGAAGCTCCTTGTTATGCAGTTTTCTCCAGCCTCCCATCATTTCATCTCTCTCCTGTCCAAATATTCTCAACACCCTGTTCTCAAACACCTGCAGTCTATGTTCCTTCCTTAATGTCAGAGACCAAGTTTCACATCCATACAGAACCACAGGAAAAAATTATAGTATTGTATATTGTATATTCTAGTTTTTATGTTTCTAGATAGCAGACGAGAATATGAAAGGTTTTGGACCAAATGGTAGCAAGCATTACCCGAATTCAATCTCCTCTTAATTTCCTCCTGAATCAGGTTTTGATTTTCATTTCATGTAATCTTCTGTGTTATTACAATTCTTTATTAAGTCCGTCACAACACAACAGTACAGTGTTCAAGGCTAAATTAGCTTTGCTACATGTTTCGGGTACTCATAGCCATCATCAGTCAAATACACGATCATCATGTTTGCACACTAGTGAACTGCAATTGCACAGTAAGTCTGGATACTTGACAATTATCATATTATAAAACACATGGCATAAAAATTACAATGAAATATAAACTTATTATAAAACGAGTTATTTCGTAAAGCAAGGTTAAAAGTATTCCAGTGATAATCTGTATCACAAAGTCAGTCATTACAATCTTGTATTTTCCCATGGACATGGTATATTCTAGACTTTTATATGATAAACTGTTTGGAGGCCCGTGAAGTATAGTTTTAAAATAAATTGTTTGGTCGGTGCATCATATGATGTACTTATATCTGTTTTGTAAGGAATACAGATTGCAAATCTGTGTTGATGGAGTTGCAATCTGTATTCTCTATAAAACAGACATAAATACATCATTACTCCTCCAACATGTGCCATCGGTTTAGTTTAACATTTAGGAGGTTCCCTCAATTTGTGACTTTCCAATCATGTTGCTTTGCTATGTGATTCTGGTAGTTACTGACCTAACACTAAGGTTGACAGCGACTTGATGTATTAAGATCAGGGGATGAGGCTCTGGCCCTCTCACTTCTCTGAGTTGTAGCTGTTCCAAGCTGTCAGCTCTCAAATTCTCAGAGACTTTCCGGCTCTGTTGAAACTGCCACAAATCCAGGAAATGTACCAGATGTTTAGTTAGTTAGTTATTGGAGAGGGTGGGTTTTCCCATGCACTTAGACCAGTATTGGTCCATTGTGCTTCCCTCTATGATATTCTACCAGTCTCTATACCCTACCGATATTGGTGCATACCATCAGTCCCGACCGAGCCAGCGAGTTCGGCTTCTACTGGCTTGGCGGTATCTATAATGCTTCCCCCATCTATCAGAGGCGTTAGAGACTACTGTTGGGTGGGAAACGTCCTTGAATTTGGCTCAGTGACCTCCTTTGGAGATGTGAGGTTCTTTTACATGCCGTAAAGCTACGACATGGGACCCACGGCTTAAAGTCCCTCCCGGAGGACTTGTTCCCTGAATTTTTCCACCCTTAAAAATTCCACGGCCTCTGCCGGGTTTGAGCCCGTGTACCACGAGTCATGAGGTGGGAACGTTACCTCTAGACTACGGAGGCCGCTTACCAGATGTTACTTCCTGTCCACATAGCAAAACTTGAACTATGTCACTTCTGAGTATAAAATTTGGCTATCTGCCAGATCTCTGTTTGTATTTTACGTGATCTTAACTTAATATAAATTTAATTAATACAAAAGGGTCCGGCAAATTATGATGAATGGTTACAGTATCACTCTAGAGCTGGATGGATAGTTAGGCGGGTGTGTAATAACTGATTATTTCATGTATGATAAAGAAATCAGTGCCGTTGACACGTCACTTTCTATTACAGATCTCTGCACTCACCAGTGTTGGGGCTGTCAGTTCTGACCAAAAATAATGTGTACTGGTAAGTCTTCAGTAGTCAATGCTGCTGACTGTTTGTGTTTCAAATGTGAATTCATGAAGACATTGAACTCCTTGCTGCCTGAGCTTCATAACCAATGCTTGCTTTTGGGGATAACTGCAATTATTATATATGTCAAGAAGAAGCACTTTGATTCTTGATGTAGAAATGAAAGTAATATGATATTTGTAGAATATAATATTGCTAAAAGTTTAAATTGTGCCGCCATATTTGTTCATGTATCCTTTTAAAACTTATATGTAGCAATAGAATGCTAGATATAACTTACGATATCTGCTTCCTTTCAGATTCTTAAAAATTTGTGACAGTAATAACAAGAAGTGTAAATTAATAATTATGCAATTTATTGATCCATGTGTGTGTGTGTGTGTATAATTTCCAGTAGTACAAATTCTTTCAGTGTTAAATTTGTCATTTATAAACATCAAATTATTATAAAATGATTTGACAACACCATCCAGTGTGATTCAGTGTGTATTTATATAGTGCCTTTACATGTTTCGGTCAGTTGTAAACATCTTCAGAATGCAGTAACAACATGCTGAAGAACTACTATTACATAGATTGTAGTACATATGCTTGAACTTTTGCATAATTTTAATTATTGAAGTTAAATGGTGTTTAAGTTATTAATGTGTTATAAATGTTCTTAATATTTAAAATCTTGAACCACTGAGGTTTGTCTCTCCATGCCTCTTCTGTCAGCATGGGAGATTGGGGTGTTATTTGTTGTCCTCTGAGGTCTGGGCAGAATTGTTTCCCCCATTTTTATATGGTTCATTAAAGATCTGCAGCATATAAACATTAATGTTTTGTGCTCTGACTTGCTGGCATAAAAAGAAGTTTCATTCAGAATGTAATGCTATGTTTATGATTATCTCCATACAAAAGTTTAACTTACCCCAGTCTTCTAGTTCTTCACACTCAAAGCTATATACATGGTGTGTTCAAAAAGTATCGAACCTTTGGTCGGCAGAAATACATTTATTGATTTGGAGGTACAAAACCCTAATCCCCTTCAAAGTAGTCTCCTTGGTAATGCACACACTTCTCCCAGCACTTCCGCTATTGTTGGAAACACTTCTGGAACGCATCTTTTGGAATGGTGATCAGCTGGGCTGTCGCATTCCGCACGATGTCTTCTCTTGACTCAAATCAGGTTCCGTTCAGCAGCATTTTCAGCTTGGAAAATAGCCAAAAGTCACACAGAGCCATGTCGAGGGAGTAGGGAGCCTGATGAACCACAGGGATGTTGTGTTTGGCGACGAAAGTCTGAATCAGATGCCCAGAATGGACGGGTGCATTATCATGATGGAGCTGCCAAGTTTTTGCTGTCCACAGATCTGGTCGTTTGCACCACACAGCATCACGAAGGTGACAAAGGACCTCCTGGTAGTATTCCTTTGTGATGGTTTGGCCTTGTGGATCACAACGACATGGGAGCAGAAGAAAATGGCCAACATGACCTTGACATTGCTGCGGACCTGCCATGGTTTTTTTGGCCTCAGGGATGTTGGATGTTTCCACTGTGACAACTGCATCTTGGTTTCCGGGTCGTACCCATAAACCCACGACTCATTGCCTGTGATCACGGTGTTCAGAAAGTTTGGGTTACTGTTTGCTTTGTCTAGCATGTCCTGTGCAATTTCCAGACGGTGTTGCTTCTGCTCCATTGTTAGTAGTTTCAGTACGAATTTCGTGGACACTCCTCATGCCCAAATCTTCGGTCAAAATTGAATGTACCGATCCAATGCTTACCCCTATCTTGTTCTCGGACTGTGATACGACAGTCCTCCATGACCAAAGTCCACACTTGCTCAATGACATTCTCATTTCGGCTAGTTGAGGGTATGCGGTTCGCTGTCCACTGATGTGTGGCTATCATTGAAGTGGTTGTACCACTCCTTTATCCGTGAGTTGCTCATGGCATCGTCCCCGAAAGCCTGTTGAACCTTGCGAATTGTTTCCACTTGGGTATCGCCAAGCTTTTGGCAAAATTTGATACAATATCACTGCTCATGTTGTTCCATTATTTTACAACTTACTGGAATCCAACGAGCGCTCACTACACGTCCTCACTCATAGGCCGACTGCCAGCGACTGACACTTTCTGTGGGCAGGAAAAAATTCAAGACTGCGCATGAATGTCCCCTCCACATCTCCACCGAAGGGAGTCTCCCACGCTTCATTGGTTTATGCGGGAAAAAAGAAGGTTCAATAATTTTTTAACATACCACGTGTGTATATGTATATGTTTCACCCAACCACTGTTTTACATTGAACAAAAGCATCACAGTAATATGAGTTTCATGTTTTCCCCAGATGGTGTGATGGTTATGCCATGTTTCACTAAAATGTATCATTGCTTCTGATGTTATGAGTGACCAACACACAGATGGATGGACACATGGGCATGTTGATACCATAGACTTAGCTTTCTTAATAAAAGAATAAAAGCAGGGAACTAAAAGCATTGAAAATGGTGCTCTTAATATAACTCCTTTACATCACAACTGATAATAAACTGCTATAGACAGCAGGAGAAACTAAGATGATAGATTCAGTGTGATGGTATAATTTTAACTTTTTTTAAGTGAACAAATATTAACTAACTAACTAATTTACTCACCCTCTGACAAATTCACTGCTAGCAGAACCCAAATGATCAGCACTACTAATAACTAAAGAAATAGATCCTTGAGATCTCTAGGTAAAATGTAAAGTTGTCCCTGTGATTATCTAATTAAGCACTACACCATGAAGATGTATGGGGGAGTGGATGGGTAGATCCACATTTTCTTGACCTCAGCACTAGCTGGGGGAGGTCTCTAGGTGTCAGAATTTAAAACAATACTGACTCATCTTGTTCAAAATACAGGACCAAGTATGTTTCCCATCTGGTCTATATTTGTATCTGTAGGTGTATTTGTGTTCAATTTCCATACCATCATAAATATTTATTTATTTATTTATTTACTTTGCAGTGTCAGATTCCGGGACCCTAAGTATGATGATACATTTATATTTCCAGCAGTTCGTCTGAAAGGAGCCAGGTAATGAAATTTATATAAATACTATTTTTTTTAAATGCTGCTAATTTTTCACAATCTCTATTACTGACTTGCTCTATTTTTTTTACTTCACCTACTTCAGATATCTGGATAAAAAATCATGAACTACCCTGCCTGCTCCTTCAAAAAAATAAATTTCTTTTATAAAAGGTTAGCTAGCAGTATGCCTAATAAGATCAGGTTTTCTTCTGCCATTGAAAGTTATTTTTCACCTTGGAAGGCGTTTGCCATTTAAGCATTGTGTACCTACATATCCCATTTATGAATAACAGTTATTCCATTCTCTGTTTTATTTAAAGAGAGCCACCAAGAGTGCTGAAGCCACAAGACTTGAGTCCATCTCAGAACAGGAGATGGAGGCCTCAAATTGGGATGGCACCAGCAACACAGAGGGCCTCACTGGGTGATGCAGGGCACAGGATGCTTGGGTAAGTAAGTGAATGTAAATTTTAAAAGAAAATACAACTTCTTTGGAATAAATAGGAAGTATTAAATGTCTAATACTGAATGTAGAACTTTCATAATATTCAACAGGATACATGAAACAAGAATGAAGAAGTGTACTTCAGTTTTAAGTTCACAAATCTTACATGATTTATTTTGGGGGCAGGATTTTAACCGTTCTTGGTCACAATATTCATTTATTGCATACACAAATATAATATAAACCAACAATGCAGACACTGTTCTCAATGGAGTCATAAATTCTGATGTTTACAAAGTCAGTCACCAAAAATTATCCTTGTACTTAATTATGCACATTGGATGAAGACATATGGGGATTGGATATAGAATGCCAGCATTCTTAAACCTCAGCACTAGATGGAGGTGAGTGGTCAGCTTCACTTCCCTGCTGGTTAACCCTGGGGACACAGCCCCCAGTACACATGGGATAGGAGTTTGGGTGGTCCCCATAGCTGGTCTAGGTGCTAGGGAGAAGAAAAAAGAGCTTTTGTCCCTGTGAGCAATTGAATCCTAATTCCTACATTAAATGAATTATCCCAGCTTCACCAGTGAAGAGTACAGAGTCATAAAATATTTTGTTTTGTATTTGTTTGAATATACACAGTACTAATAAATATTTTTAAAATAGAAGTTACAGATTGTAGTGATATCTGTATTTTTATCGCATGTTCCAGTTTCTTGCTGATAAACAATTTTTGAGAAGCTTTGTGTGTAGTAGTGGGGCACACGGTAGCGTAGTTGGTTGAGCCACTATGCTACAAGCCAGAAGGTCGCGGATTTAAGTCCTGAGGAGATTATTGAATTTTTTTCAATTGACCTAATCCTGACAGTTGCACTATGGCCCTGGGGTTGACTCAGCCTCTATCAGAAATGAGTACCAGGAATTTTCCTGGGAATAAAGTGCGGCCGGCGCATAAGGCTGACAACCCTATTGTCATCTTTGAGCAGATTGTCTAGATAATGTGGGACCCTGAACGTCTCACAACCCCATGGGCCTCTGAGGCCTGTTACAAGGACAGCTTTACGTTTTTTTGTGTGTGAAGTAGTGGTTTTAACTGACCATTTCAAACCAAAATTAATTTTGTTTATAACTTCAAGTGAAGTGCACAGTATGAAATTTCATTGAAATCTATCACATGGTTTTGGAGGTAAAAATATGGTCTCATGGACAGATGGATGGACATGACTTCAAATTATGTTACAAGGGCAGTTCAAATTTAAAGGTACAGCACCAAATTACATCAACTATTTATTGCAGAAAAAATTTTTAATGAAGTCAAGAAACACTACATACTATTGTTTATTTTTCCACGTAGTCACCATTAGCATTCAGACATGTATCCCATCATTTTACGAGTTAAGCATTCCATCATGGTAGTGTTCCTTTCCAAGGGATGTGAAGTATTGCACAACTGTTTTTTTTCAGTACATTTGAGTCCTCAGATGTTTTTTCCTGATAAAAATTCTTAAATGGCCCCAAGCAGTAGACATCTGATGGCACTGGATCAGGACTATGAGGTGGATGCTGCAGGACTTCCCACTTCTGCTCTTGCAGCCAGGGTGCTGTCTGGGCTGAAGAGCGAAGTCATGCTCCTTCATGCAGAAGCCTCACTCCAGCTGTTAATTTTTCAGGTCCCTTTCTTTTAATGGTTCATGATTACAAAATGACTGCTGAAAATTTATTTGACAAATTTCATAAGTTAGGCTGTTGTCTTGAAAGTTTATTCCTTACGCTTCCCTTTGAACAATTTTTCCAATTATCTCAGTAGTTTTGGTGATGAACGGGAGACAAAGTTGCACTAGAATATAAAGAAAATGGATGAGAGATGACAGGGAAGGCAGAATGTGTACATGGTAGCAGTTGCAGGTGGTCATTGAAAGGAGATATATCCTACATTGTATTTGGAAAAAAGACCAAAACTGTTGTTTTGATCACAAGTTATTTCATAAATTCAGATAAATGCACATTTGCATATCAGTATTCTTCATTATTACTAATTTATGTGTTGTATTTGGATTTTTTAGCAAGTTAAAGTATTTCATTGATCAGGGTGTAGTAAATAAATGTAACCATGCAGCAGAAAATGAATTTTACAGTTTTCCAAATTTGTAAAATGTCCTTTCTTAATGGTAGGAAATGAATTACATTTTTGAGTTGAATATTGCAAAGCTATGGAAGTGATTTCTTAGTATGAAAATTACTTTATATTCACAGACCACTGTTGTCTGAAAAGTATAGTTTTCTGGGTTCTTAGCTTGCTGCTTACTTCTGCTGGCTTCTTGCTTTTACCCTGAAAATAGAGGCAAAATGTTCCTATGAAGTGCCAGGCTTTCTACAAACTACATGGCGTTACAACCCGAAAGACTGTATTCTTCATAGTGATCTCTGTGAGAACCTCAAATCCAAAACAGTGTTATCTGCACTGTGGGAATTTGTGTGTCAGAAATGGATTTCTTTGCCTTGTGGTCTCTCTGCTGTAGGGAGTATTTCTAAGACTGTAATTAGAATCATTAGCCACAAACTGAGTAATTAGTCAATTCCAATGTAATATCAGTGATTTGCTTCTTTTGTTATCAGGCATCACACAAATGTGAGAGCTGGAGCAGGCATATACAGCAGTGTTCCTCCTGTGATTAACCAAGGACTACAGGCCTTGACAAGACTTGCTGGTCTCCTGCAGCAGCATCAGTATCAGCCACATCACCAGCAGCAACAGCAGCAGCAGCAGCAGTCAAATAGAGGAAGCAGTGAGTACAGAAGAAATTATATTCACATATCTTTTTAATTGGGACTAACAAAGGTGATTGTATTATGTAGTTATCACTATCCTCTGTACCATATTTTGTTCTATAATTCATATATTTTTTCACTATTTTATCAAAACCATGGGCATAAATTTATGCAGGGATTTATAAAAATATTGTTTGCTACTATGTGTTAAGAATATGCAGTAACGACTTTCTCAATCGAGACAAGAATTTGGAAAAATTTCAAGAATTGAGGTGAGAACAAGAATATTCTGTACTAGACCCTTTTTTTCTTGGTAATCACAATTTATACCATTAGCCACATTTTTCACAATGCTCTGAGATGTATTACTTATCCCATTCAGTATTAGATCTGAATCATTTGATTCGGATGTTGCCCATATAATTATAATGCTTTACATAGCCCCAGAAAGAAAAGTCAAACTGTGTCAAATCAGGGCTACAAGGTGGCCACAGAATTGAACCACCCCTGCCAATCCATCTTCCATGACATGTCTTGAGAAATGTAGCAGTGTGTCATCTTGCTGGAAAATTATATGTTTTTTTTGTGTTGGTCATTTTCTTCTGGCTGAAGAAAGAGCTTTCTGATATGTCCATGTAAACTAGTCCATTAATTATGTCTTTCAAAAAGAAAAATGGTGTGAGGATATGATCACTCATTAATCCTCACCAGATATTCACCTTGCGGCTACCATAAATGTGTTCTGAATCACATGTGGATTTTCTGCTCCCCATATTCAGCAATTATGACAAATTGCATGTCCACTGAGATGAAACATGGCTTTGTCATGAAATATTATCATGTTTAAAAAATTTCCACATTCATGCTACATGCCATGCCCACCTCATCCTCCTCGACTTGATCATTCTAATTGTACTTGGAGAAGAGTACAAATTATGAAGCTCCTCATTATGTAGTTTTCTCGAACCTCCTGTCACTTCATCCCTCTTTGGTCCAAATATTCTCCTCAAGACCCTGTTTTCAAATACCCTCAGTCTGTGTGCCTCCCTTAATGTCAGAGCCCGAGTTTCACACCCATACAGAACCACAAACAAAATTATAGTCTGTGTGCCTCCCTTAATGTCAGAGCCCGAGTTTCACACCCATACAGAACCACAAACAAAATTATAGTTTTGTATATTCTAATTTTTATGTTTTTGGACAGCCGAGGATATGACTAAAGGTTCTGGACTGAATGGTAGCAAGCATTATCCGAGTTCAATCGCCTCTTAATTTCCTCCTGAATGATTTGTTATCATCATTCCCAAGTATTTGAACTGTGCCACATTTTCAAAACATCTGTTTCTTATCATTATGTCATGATTTTGCCCTGTATTTTGGTGACGAGACAGCAACTTATACTTAGTTTTCTCTGTGTTTACTTCTAGACCAGCCTCCTTACTTGCATCAATTCAAGTTTGTGTGTTTTTCTTTATGGTATCTATGTTATCACCCTGGTATATTCACATCATTGGCATAGACCAACAGCTGATGTGTCCCATTTAATTTTAGTCCCGCCTGGTTTTACTGAACCTTCCTAATGGCATATTCTAAAGCAAAGTTGGAAAGGAGTGGCGATAAAGCATCTCCTTGTTTTAGACCCTTTTGGATAGGAAATTTATCAGGCAAATGTTTACCTATACGGACTTTACTATAAGTTTTGTTTAAACACATTTTAGTCAGCCTAACTATTTTCATAGTTATCCAAGACTCTATCAGAATATTGTACACTACTTCCCTCTTAACTGAATCATAGGCTTTCTAGAAGTCTATGAGTAACTGATATGCTGTCTCATTGTACTCCAATTTTTTCTCCAATATCTGACGAATGCACAAGACCTGATCCATAGTGGATCTGTTACGTCGAAACCCACACTGATGATTCCCAATAATTTCATCTATGTATGGACTTAATCTTTTGAGAAGAGTATTGGACAAAATTTTGTATGAAGTTGATAGCAGTGAGATCCCCTAATAATTACTAAAGTCAGTTTTATCATCCTTCTTGTGAACTCTTACAATAATAGATTCCTTCCACTGATCAGGCAATTTTTCCTTATGCCAGATAGAAGTAATTAGCTTATGGATCTTAGAATGTAATAATTTGCCTCCTGCATGAATAAGGAACCAGAGCAGTCTCAAATTTAATTGCTTAAATTTTATTTACTTCTTTGTTTGGGGTGGGGCAGTGTGCAGGTTTCAAATTGTATCCAGATTTGAATGCCATGGCCTGTAGTCATAGTTGAGCTAACCGAAACCTCTGCTTAGACTTTCATTATTATTAGTATGTAAATTCAGTGTTATGGTAAGCATTTTTCTTAAAGGTTCATTTGAATTATGTACCTGTTTAAGGTAGGTATTTCAGTGGTCCTTTGTTTTTACGGAGTCTGCATATATTGAATTGTCTGGCAAATTGAATCTATGAATATAATATTCCATTACTATGTGTTCTGACCTTATATTTGCACCAGAAGTTTGATTTTTTTTTTATTTTATATACATATGTATATGTAAATTAATGTTATTGGGCTTGTTCTGAAATTAAAGGGGTGCGTTAGCATTTACCTGTTCTCAGATGTCTGAGAAGTTTATACTGACTTTCTTGACAGTTCAGCTGAGTACCGTACAGCTTTCTGTAATCACTTCTTTTGGCTGTTGCTTCAAGTGTGTGCCAGTGTCATTTTTCCCACCACAAATCCCACATGAACTGACCTGATTTCAAACTGATGCTGTAGTGGTGGTAAGCCAGCTCATTGTGCATCATAACACTTTGAGAACACTAATAAGAATGGTGGTGTTATTGAAATTTTGAAGGAAAGGTGCTGTATACAGAATATGGTCATAATGTATAGAACCACGATAAGTGACAGGACTGTGATGAACCACCGGGGGAACACATGAGTGGAAATGCTTGAAGTCCAGTAGTGATCCCTTAGTTCAGTTTTGTGCCTTTGCTTGATGCTTAGTGGTGTGATTGTCCACATTGAAGAAGTTTAATATGTGTATTGGTGCCATATGTAATGCTTGGTTTTTTTTTTTTGTTATTTTTGCAAACAAGGTGATTGCAAACATTACCAGGATGTTTTTTTGCAGTCTGAAATAGTGCAAAGTTCCATAGGGGGAGAATAAATTTTTGTTTATAATAGTGGTATTCCATATTAGGTAATATTGTTCCATAGATGAAATTTATGCATTCCCCCACAAAAAATTAAATGACCTTTCACGTTCAAAACATGACACGTTCTCCTCATTGGTCACGCAAGCTTCATTCTTTGGACTGTGGCTTTTTTTTAACGCTTCAAATCGGCCTACATGCAGGATTGAGATGCCTTTTAAAGTTGCAAAATAATATGGGACTGGGGTGGGGACTTGTTCCTCTGACCAATGCCATGAGCCAAATCTGTGAAGAAGAATACCAACATCTGCCAGAGTAAGACTGTATACAATGTCACACATGTAAATAATGGTGGATAGGAAGCTCGCACAGTGTAGGAATAAGGCCATTTTACATATGACTGTCCCAAAGCTTAAAGAGTAGTGCAAATTCACGTCACTTAATTACTGCGCACTCTTTACCAGCATATTGGGTAAGACTACAATTTCCATTTTTATGAAATTTCCTTAAAATAAAAACATCTGCCATAAAATATTATTTGTTCCTCAGTAATGCAAGTTAATGCTTCATCCGTTGGTGTGTACACTTTCTCAGCTTTCCTCCATGGCATCTTTCCTCCTTGAGTTACAGTGTTGTATTACTGTATATTTTGGTAGATAACGACTCTGTTAGGATCGAGACTGTATAGCACCGATGATAGAGTGATTAATGAATATGGAGCAGTTGGTGGAATGAAACCGTAGCCCTCGGAGAAAACGTGTATCATTTCCAGTTTTCCCACCAAAATTCCTGCATGAGCTGACCTGGGATCGAACCCTGGCCGCCGCGGATTTCGGTGTATTTGTAAACTGTGTTCAGTTCGTGCAAGTAAGAATACAGTTATTTTATCCCCTTTCAACTACGACACATTTTATTGCGATGTTCTCTGACATGCGGTTCATTCAAAATATTCTCATTCTGCCATGCGGTAAAGCTGATTGCTGCAGACTTTTCACGTGTTGCTCGAGAGATGACGCGACCGTCTGTTGCTGCAACATTAAACTCGTCACTCGTTTGAAAGATGGTGCTGGAATTTTCATTGTCTTCCATAAGATGAGTGCCTGATTGTGGTTTAATATTCCTCGGAAACACTTCGGACTGCATTGAACTATCACTGTCAAATTCTTGAATGTAACTGCCACGTATAGACTCGAAATATTGGTTGGTTAATGTTGTGAACTGAGAAATCAGCACTAGAAAAAGGGCTTTCAGGATTCTTTCTTTGTTTCGCTAGGCGCGGTCCTCCATAGAATACGTTACGGAAAAAATCGTTTTGGGAGGAATTTCGAAGAACGCGATAAGAAAAAATATTTAATTTATCACCAGATCTTTCTTTCGTGTTAAAATAAGAAAGCATCCTATAACAAACAAAATGCAGGGTCACAGATGAAGCCCCCAATTAAATTGACCGGGGATGTTATGTGTTACCTGATCAGGGCTGTCGCGTACCCCAGGGGACTATTATAGATTAATCTGAGGAAGCAAAGGAATGGTGACCAGCAGGGAGAAGCTCAAGTGAATTCAGAAAAATCTGCTCCAGTGTCGTTCGTCCACCACGAACCTCACACGAAGTCGCCCGGGAGTGAACCGGGGGCTCTGTCATGAGAAAATAGTGCCTAACCTCGTTAGCAGTGGCGGTGCATTTCAGTTACTAAATTACTTGACGTTTTCATAGGAATTGTCAAGAGCAGTAGGAACTGAAGGCGCGAACTGCTGTTGTTTCTGAAAAGGACGGCCCTATTCCTATACTTCTTGTTTGGAACTGCAAACCGGCCACTACATATAGCTTTTGACTGGCATATCTCTCTGATTTTAGATTCTGAG